ACTTAGATCGAGAACTGAATGACTTTTTAAAGTTTAGCTTACAAGTTACTTGCAGAAGTAATAATCTTTTACTAATTTTAACATCAAGGGGATTAAAATGTCTGACAAAGGAGAAACCACAAATTGTTGTCAGGATTAAGATATAAAGGAAATCGCTTAGATTAAGGAAGTCAATCAAGACAGATTAAGTCATTAATCATTTAAGGTAGGTGTGTTACATCATACAGGGGTCAATCGGGATTAGTAATAGTTATAACCCGCAGTAAAGTACATATATTTAGGAATTTTGGATATGATTAATCGTATTGTGATGTCTGATTGGGCATATTTCTGGTCGATCATTAGCAAACTTGTGTAGGACATGTCTGGCATATACAGGCGAAACAGTTTCATGGTGTGGTTGTGTATTGTCATCCCCATTTTCTGTCTGCAAGTCATCATTGTAAACAAACAACATCTTGAAGGGTTTTCAGAAAAAAGTTTTAAAATCGGATGGAATTGTTTAGGTGTGTAAAAAAAATAGTATATATATGGCCCCTATTATCAGAACACTCAGTTTTGAGAATTTTTGTAGATTTTATTGACTGGTCGTAAGAGAAAGAACTTTTTTGACATTTTGATTAATGGTACATCCTGTATAAATCAGTTGCCATTGTTAATGAAATCTTGTAGACATCATATAGGTCAGAGGTTTTGAGAGAAAAAACATTTGAAGCTCCGTGGGTTTCTTTGGCTGTTCATAAGACAGAGTCCTAGATTTAATTTGAGGTGGGTTTATTTTTTTCACAAAATTTGGGGATTTCTTCAAATATGTTCAATAGCCATTGAATTGAATTGATTTTTCATTGGTGTTTTATGGACACTGGACAAATTTTTAAAAAACAAAAAGGCATGGACACAATCTCTGGTAGAATATTATCCATAACAACTATATAAGGAAAATATTTATACTTTTTCCTTTTGAACAAATTATATTTCAAAACAGAATTAACTAATAAAACTAAAAAAAGTATCTAATAACTAGTTTATGAACTTAGGCCAACCAATATGATTTTCAGTTCTTCAGGATTTAGAAATACATGCATCATTACACGAATGATGTTATTTTTTTTAAATGTCAAGCTTAAAAATTTGTAGCTTAGAGCTTTCGAAAAGAAGGAATGATCAAGGCCTATTTTAAACTTTTTTTCCTGCAAGAAATAGAAAAAAAAACAATTTAATAAGTGTTCCCAAAGAACTAAAATTTAACTTGGTGGGGCCTTACATTGGTTGTTTATGTTTATAAATACTCTGGACAAATATGTTGAACTTGTTTGTTATAGATTTTGAAATTTAAAATATGTGTATGTAATTGTAAAAATCTTTTGATCAAGAACATGATTAGTGTATACACACTTTGTTGATTTTGGTGGTATTTAGATTTATTTAGTACTTGTATTTATCTAAAACTGTAATTATGTGTTTTTAGGGAGTCATGTGAATTGACTGGCAATCTCAGTTATTTTGTTAAAGGGGCATTATGTAAGTTTTAGGTAAAGAGCTGGCCGTTTTCGCTGTAATATTTCAAAAGTAGATAATGCAAAATATGAATACATTAAAAATTTCATACAAATTACTTTATTTTTAGCGAAGTTATCAATAGTTGTAAATTTGACAAGATGTGTCCATTGATTGTAACCGTTGTAATCTACTTAAAATTGGAGGCATCCAATGGCATCGAGAGTTGATTATGGTCTTGTCATGTTAATAAATGTCTATTTTATAGTTTATAATAGATAAGACCCAAAGAAAGACCTGCAATAGGCAGATTTATCTCTACATAATGCCTGTTTAATATACCATAATGTAAAAGTGTTTTAAACTGAATACTTAACTATAAAAATTTATTATAGAAACCTAATATAAAAACTTGTTAGAGAATTACAGAAGTATATTATGTAACTTTACTTGTATCTTGGTTGAATGTCCCTTGAAGAGTCAAAGTAACTTTTTGTCCCCCGCCTTTCGAAGAAAGCAGGGGACTATTAAAATGGGTTCGTCCGTCTGTCTGTCCGTCTGTCCGTCTGTCCGTCCGTCTGTCTGTCCGTCACACTTTTTGGGACACAATAACTCTCTTCCTAATTGAGCTAGAATGTTCAAACTTGGTGTATGTGTTTATTAGGTCAATGCCTTGATGGAGTTCGAAGATGAGCATTTTCCGCTTAGGGTAAGCAGAGATAAGCAATTTGATTGGTTGATGCTTTGGGACACGATAACTCTCTTCCTAATTGGGCTAGAATGTTCAAACTTGGTGTATGTGTTGATTAGGTCAATGCCTTGATGGAGTTCGAAGATGAGCATTTTCCGCTTAGGGTAAGCAGAGATAAGCAATTTGATTGGTTGATGCTTTGGGACACGATAACTTTTAATTGAGCTAGAATGTTCAAACTTGGTGTATGTGTTTATTAGGTCAATGCCTTGATGGAGTTCGAAGATGAGCATTTTCCGCTTAGGGTAAGCAGAGATAAGCAATTTGATTGGTTGATACTTTGGGGCACGATAACTCTCTTCCTAATTGAGCTAGAATGTTCAAACTTGGTGTATGTGTTGATTAGGTCAATGCCTTGATGGAGTTCGAAGATGAGCATTTTCCGCTTAGGGTAAGCAGAGATAAGCAATTTGATTGGTTGATGCTTTGGGACACGATAACTTTAGTTCTAATTAAGTGAGATTGATGAAACTTGGTGTATAGATTTATTATATGAATACCTTAACTAAGTTCGATAATGAACATTTTTTGCTGAGGGTAAGCAGAGTGATAAGCAATTTGATTGGTAGAAACTTTGGAACACAATAACTCTCCTTCTAATTGAGGTAGAATGTTCAAACTTGGCATAGGTGTCTATTAGGTGAATGTTTAAACTTGATGTATATGTAGATGTTCATTAGGTGAATGTCTTGACTGAGTTCAATAATTAACATTTCGAGCTGAAGCTAAGCAGAGCTAATCGATTTCATTTGTCGATGGTTTGGGACAAGATAATCTTGATTCTATCTGATAGAGAGTGATGAAACTTAGTGAAAAAAATAAATGTGCGATTAATTAATATGTGTCATCTATTTATTTTGCAATTTCGGCGGGGGACATCAGCCTCACTGTTGGCTTGTTCCACCAGTATTATAGTCTATATTCTGTTTATTATATTGTTTATTAAGCTGTTGATGTGATGATGGATTGTTTTATCAGTAATAAATTGGTTAATAGAAAGTATAATGTTTAGATTTTCACCTGTACACCACTTAAACAGGTATCATTGCATTACCTTAGTGAAGAAAAGAATTTAAAAATCATATAGATTCGCCAGATTTTCAAAAATATTACCGCTAAACGGAAAGGAGGTAGCCAAATGTTCTGGAGGATTGCGCTGCAGATCTCTGGGTTCTGTGACTCATATATTATATGCAAGTGACAATGAGTCGAGTCTTAGGTTTTCCCTCCCACAGGTTCAGTGACTCATATTATATGCAAGTGACAATGAGTAAGTCTTAGGTTTTCCCTCCCACAGTTTCAGTGACTCATATTATATGCAAGTGACAATGAGTCGAGTCTTGGGTATATAGCCCGATGTATAACTGTATAGATAAATATCGCCAGAAGGCCGGCTATTCCACTACTTGGTCCACTCCCAATCCTTCAGGACTATTAGTATTAGAAGCTGAATGATTATTATTGTGAAATGGAGAGCAACGAAATTCGCTGCAAATATCAACTGGCTATTAAATACGACTAAAGTAACCACAAAATTCTCTCTAAATTCACCAATAGTAGAGTTATAATGTAATATAATTTACTATACGATGCATTCCAATTTAGAGTCAATGCCAGTTACCAGGTACTTTTCAAATTTGGGAGGTCACCTTTAAATTTCACCATCTTGGTAACCCAATGTAATCCCCTCTCACCTCCTACATTCTGAACCAACTGGTCTAATGAAGAAACGCCATACAGTGTACTATGAGGGGCATTTGGCCCTGACAGCAATCGAATTCCAACTGTAAAGGAATCTTTTATGCGCACGCCAATGTGTGCAGGGGACCTCAGTTGTTCATCCTTGCCCTGGGCGTAACCACGCTGGAATATTCCAGGGAACTTTCTCAGCCAACCCGGTATTGAGCCCCGTACCTCCCAGTTAGTAAGCCAGCAGCTTACTCACTGAGCCATCGTGGATCCTTCAGTGCGAAAACCTTCAGCAGTGGCAGATAAAGACCCTTAAAATCTTTCCCCGGCCAATAATTCCAAAATAACACCCAGTAACTCCAAAATGTTGATTTTGGAATCACAAAATAACAATTTAGTTGAATTTAAGAAGCCTTGCTGCTTTGTGCCCAAAGTGGAGTTTCACGGTCACCCGTCTGAAGGGAGATAACTGATGTATTTTTTTAAAAATATACTCTTTAAAAAAAGTAGGGGATATTGAAATGCAAATACCTATGCAGGTTGTGACATGATAAATAGTCATAGACACTTGACATGCTTTGAGAGTATGTTCACAGATGAAGAACTTATCGCCCCAACAGAACCACTGAGCTGCACATGCGACACGCAATAGCGCCATACACGTGGGAGGGGTTTGTTGTCAAATTTGACACTTCAAGAAAGGGTTGATGAAAACTGACATGTGCTGGTTTATCTATCAATGTTTGCTTTCCTATCGGTTCTTCCATAAGATTTACTGTTGAGCATATCTTTGCTTTAGTGTGTTACGTTTAATTTGATCGGGAGACGTTTAATTTGATCGGGAGACGTGTTCATCGACATCAACGTCAACTGACAACACTGCAAGAATTTGCTGTGGCACTGCAATAGCAGTGGGTCAGATTGCCCCAAATCGTGATTGGATGGTTGATTAGGAGCATGCCACGACGAATTGCTGAATGTCTGGGAATTGGTGGAGCAATTATTCATTATTACGAGGGGTGATTGATAAGAAGTGAGTCTTAACACAGAAAGAAACAAGAAATTCAAATCAAATGCATTTATTTTTCAACATAGCCCCCCCTTCAATGTAATACACTTCTGCCATCGGTGTTGCAGAGCCTTTATTCCAGTTCTGTAGAAGTCTTTGTCTTGGGGGTGTAGAAAATCACCCACAGCGGCAATGACGTCATCGTCAGATGGGAAATGCCTACCGGAAAGACATTTCTTCAGAGCAGGAAACAGAAAGAAGTCTGAGGGAGCTAAATCAGGAGAGTAGGGTGGATACTGAAGAAGTTGAAAACCACAGTCATGGATTGCTGACATGGCACGTCGTACAAAAATATAAATATGTGGTATATCAAGGTTGTAGACCCTCTAGAGGCCACATCTTTTTTCCGATTTTGATCCAACATGCTTATATCACAAAGGTCTTGATTACTTTCGATATTCACGCATATCGGATTGTAACTTCCAGAATTATGGCCCTTGATCGTATGATACCACAGTTACACCCTACAATTGTTTGTGGACACTCTACAGGTCACAATTTTTATCCGATTTCAACGAAACTTGAAATATAGTTTTATCTCCCTAGAATCTTGGTTCCTTTTGATATTGGCATGTATCGGACTGTAACTTCATGGATTATGGCCTCCTGATTGTACGAAAAATAGCATTTTTAGCTTGTGGACCCTATAGTTATAGTATATCACCGTTACACCCTAAGGTTGGTTGAGTTCAAATTTCCTGAAAATCGGCCCAAAACTGACAGACAAATGGCTGCCCCTCGTTCTCAAATAGCGTAAAAATATGGTATATCAAGGTTGTGGACCCTCTAGAAGTCACAATATTCTTCTGATTTTGATGAAACTTGAAATATAAGTTTATAACCCAAATATCTCGGTTCCTTTCGATATTCGTGCATATCGGACTGTAACTTCCTGAATTATGGCCTCCTGATTGTACGAAAAATAGCATTTTTAGCTTGTGGACCCTATAGTGATGATAATTTTTATCCGATTTAAAAAAAAAACGTTTTAGTATATCACCGTTAGACCCTAAGGATGGTTGAATTCGAACTTTGCGAAAATCGGCCCAAAACTGACAGACAAAATGGCCGCCCCTCGTTCTCAAATAGCGTAAAAATATGGTATATCAAGGTTGTGGACCCTCTAGAGGTCACAATTTTCTTCTGATTTTGAAATGTAAGTTTATAACCCAAAGATCTTGGTTCCTTTCGATATTCGTGCATATCGGACTGTAACTTCCTGAATTATGGCCCCTGATTGTACGAAAAATAGCATTTTTAACTTGTGGACCCAATAGTGGTCATAATTTTTATCCGATTTAAAAAAACGTTTTAGTATATCACCGTTACACCCTTAGGATGGTGAATTCGAATTTCGTGGAAATCGGCCCAAAACTGACAGACAAAATGGCCGCCCCTCGTTCTCGAATAGCGTAAAAATATGGTATATCAAGGTTGTGGACCCTCTAGAGGTCACAATTTTCTTCTGATTTTGATGAAACTTGAAATGTAAGTTTATAACCCAAAGATCTTGGTTCCTTTCGATATTCGTGCATATCATACTGTAACTTCCCGAATTATGGCCCCCTGATTGTACGAAAAATAGCATTTTTAGCTTGTGGACCCTATAGTGATGATAATTTTTATCCGATTTAAAAAAAAAAACGGTTTAGTATATCACCGTTAGACCCTAAGGATGGTTGAATTCGAACTTTGCGAAAATCGGCTCAAAACTGACAGACAAAATGGCCGCCCTTCGTTCTCAAATAGCGTAAAAATATGGTATATCAAGGTTGTGGACCCTCTAGAGGTCACAATTTTCTTCTGATTTTGAAATGTAAGTTTATAACCCAAAGATCTCGGTTCCTTTCGATATTCGTGCATATCGGATTGTAACTTACTGAATTATGGCCCCTGATTGTATGAAAAATAGCATTTTTAGCTTGTGGACCCTATAGTGGTCATAATTTTTATCCGATTTAAAAAAACGTTTTAGTATATCACCGTTACACCCTAAGGAAGGTGAATTCGAATTTCGTGGAAATCGGCCCAAAACTGACAGACAAAATGGCCGCCCCTTGTTCTCAAATAGCGTAAAAATATGGTATATCAAGGTTGTGGACCTAGCTGTGGAATCTCCCCCATAATATTTTGAGCAGGTGAATAACAGAAAACTTCTCTAATTTTGGATGAAATTCACATTCATCATTAATCTTCAAGGGCATACAACATTTTTTTGTGTGTTTATTTACATGAAAGATATCGACTAAATAGTCAACTGATTTTATTAGTGCTTCTGCTCCATCAACCTCTAAGTTTCAGTATTTCTACAAAATACTTTTCTTAGAAATATAAAAGCTTGAGTGAGTGACTCATGTGTGTACATCTCTGTGCAGCTAACGATCACGCCACATGGCCTAATGGCAAAAAACATTCCGGCAAAAGTATCATAGAACTTATTTAAATTCTTTTTATCTTTGCAGCTGTGTGTTTCCCTTTCTAATTTTCTCATCTTTGCTTCCATTTTTTCATCACATTCTAAAATACATTTCAAAAATTGATAATTTTAAAATGTAAGACACTAACAATAGCGTGAACAGTGTGCAACGGTGGTTCCAAGCACACGACATAATAAGAAGTAAAATAAGCTGTATATCTTTGTACATGCGCTATTCGTCCTAATGAAGACAGACATACGTCATACAGTGTGATGAGGGAAATTTTGCCCAGAAAGCGGCGCTACGGCCTACTCTTATATTGAATTCAATCAAGGGATCTTTTGCTTGCACACTGATGTGAAAATGGGACTTCGGTTTTTCGTCCATCCTAACAGCTAGACAGCTGTCCTTGTCAAGCCCTCCATCCTGCACCACTGGAAAATCTCGACAAACTTTCTCATCCAATACCGAGAGCTTACCCGCGACATAGGCTAACAAGCAAGCGTCGTACTCACTTACTTTATAGCCGAGTGGCTCAAAATAATTTAAGCAACAGGTGGCCCAAGGTGAAGAAATAGCACTTTGGAAGATTACCCGAAAATTTCAAAAAATCATTAAATGTTGTTTGAACTTCATTTTCACAGCAAAATGAAAAAATATATATAACGATAAATTTGACCACCTAAATAGCTGGCTCTTGTTCTTTTTATGCCAATTGCATCTTTTTCTTTATTCTCATCTTTTGTGATTACTCCTTTTACATCTGTTTTTGTGTGATGACTGCAATACCTATAATTAATAAAACTTGTTAATAATATTATCTTTTATACAAAACTGCATTATCTTTTAGTACTACCGTACTAAATGTTTCGGGTTTCTAATTGTAAAGAGTTCATAATTAGATCGTGGACCCCTTTGAGTAATGATATCAAACATATTTAGATATACATAAATATCGAAGTCCTCACTTCTCTGGTTTTTATACGCCCACATTGAAATGTGGTCGTATATTGTCGTCGCCCGCGTCCGTCCGTCCGGATCGTTCACAATTACTGCCAGAGTTATGGCCCTTGATAACTTTAAAAAAATCTTGTGGATGCTCTACAGGCTAAAGTTAATATCTGATTGACTTTAAATTTATACACAGTGTTTAAGGTCTTGAGACGAAGAAGCCTATTGATTTTCAGCGATTTCCGATAATTACTGCCAAAGTTATTATCCAATTGACCTTAAATTTATACACAGTGTTTGAGGTCATGAGACGAAGAAGCCTAATGATTTTCAACGATTTCCGATAATTACTGCCAGAGTTATGGCCCTTGATCACTTCAAAAAATCTTGTGGACGCTCTAAAGGCAAAAGTTTATATCCGATTGACTTTAAATTTGTACACAGTGTTTAAGGTCATGAGACGAAGAAGCTGATTGATTTTCAGCGATTTCCGATAATTACTGCCAGAGTTATGGCCCTTGATCAATTCAAAAAATCTCGTGGATGCTCTAGATGCTAAAGTTAATATCCGATTGACATTAAATTTATAAAGAGTGTTTAAGGTCATAAGATGATAAGCCTATTTGTTTTCATCGATTTCTGATAATTACTGCCAGAGTTATGGCCCTTGATCACTTCAAAAAATCTTGTGGATGCTCTAGAAGCCAAAGTTAATATTCGATTGACTTTAAATTTATACACAGTGTTTAAGGTCATGAGACGAAGAAGCCTATTGATTTTCAGCGATTTCCAATATTTGATGCCAGTGTTATGGCCCTTGATCGCTTTGAAAAATCTTGTGGATGCTGTAGAGGCCAAAGTTAATATCCGATTGACTTTCTATTTATACACAGTGTTTAAGGTCATGAGACGAAGAAGACTATTGATTTTCAGCGATTTCCGATAATTACTGCCAGAGTTATGGCCCTTGATCACTTCAAAAAATCTTGTGGATGCTCTAGAGGATTGAGTTTAAATTTATACACAGTGTTTGAGGTCATGAGACGAAGATTCCTATTGATTTTCAACGATTTCCAATAATTACTGCCAAAGTTATGGCCCTTGATCCCTTTGCAAAATCTTGTGACACTCTAAAGGCTAAAGTTATCATCCGATTAACTTCAGATTGATACACAGAGTTTAAGATCTTGAGACGAACAAGTATATTGATTTTCAATTAATTTTTATGACTTGAACAGTTAAATCCATGATATTAAAACCTTTGCATACAAAACTTTAGCATGGGGCAGAACTTTATAAAAACCAAACAAATTCTAATAGTTTTCTGATAATTACTTTGTGAGTTGTTGCTCCTAATCAGATTTTAGTGTATTATAAATGTTTCAGTACCGAAAAAAGTAAAAATATGCGACAACTCTTGTTGACTGCCCGGACGATTTAGTTGCTGTGGGTGTATGTTTCGTTGCCTGGCAACCTATCTTTTAAATTTTCCACTAAATGTAGGATCATCTATGCACACGTCTCTTATGGTTAAACCCTCTTCATTTAAAATCTTTTCGCCACCTTCAGAAAATATACTCCTTTTTAACTTCTAATTTCCATCAATTGTACAGTAACCCTCCTCACATCCTTTTATTTCACAGGTATGCATAACCCATCTGTTCTGTAAATTTTCTAATTTCTAAAATATAAATAACAGTAAAATATAGAAAAAATGGTATATTGACATAAGACTACTATCTAGGCTATTCGTTTACTTTTGTTTTCATACTTTCCATAAACGTTTACATTTAACTTTAATTACTAAATAGTTAAATAGATACAGTAATGGATTACCGTACCTCATTCATTGTTTCGCATACTTTTTCTATATTAACTAATCCAGATGCCTTTCTATTTCCAACCTATCATTACCGCATATTTCTTGCATGCGGTACATAAACCATGCCTCTTCTAATCATGCTGGATTGATTTCATACACATTAAGGGCAAGGTAAAGTGACACCATTTTGTCACAACACCTGAAATGGGGGGTTCTCAAAAAGGGATTTACACCAGCTTTAATGTAAATATGTTGGTATCTACATGTGCCTGAGATGATACAGAACAATAAAAAATGGATGGAAATCCAATATAATGACTTTGAAATAAAATATTTACCAAATAATGAAGCAAATTCCCAAGTCAGGACTGCGCAGCTACAAGCTTTATAAAAAAGAACACAGGAAAATTAAACTGGCTAAAGGTTGCTCAGATAATCAAACTCCAACCATCAAGACTTGAAATCTGAAAAAACAAATATCAAAAATTAGTTATAGGACCTCAAAGTTTTCAAATATTTTGTAAACAAAAGGCCATTTTGTTTCATGCACTACTTTCACTGCAGATGTATGGTGTACCACTAGTGGCACATTGGACAGCAATATTGCCCCTATGATATGAGGTACACATTGTACAAATACCCTTCATATTCCGGATATGACATCTAATTACAATAATAGCAGCCTTTCTGCAGGGATTTTTCATGATTTGAATACAAGGCTATATTACAATGTATGTATGTCTGCTAAGGCTTATTACATGTATATAGTTATACCATAATGATGAATGTATTATTTGTGTGAGAGAGAGACACACAGAAAGAGAGGTTTAATGTCTTCTGGACACAAACTAGGTCATTTTGGGACTAACACATGGTTCAAATTTATTTCAATAATACGCTAGTGTGTAGGGGTCTTTAGCAGTGGAAGGACCTGGAGAAAACCCATGAGGCTTGACAGGCGATCCTACTGCCTGTCACATACAAGTGGACAACTGAAACTACGCCACTGGACTCAATGACGGACCTTGTGATCAAATGTGCACACGTTAAATGTGCACAATTTGTTATACCCACCTGTTATTATATTAAAGTCAACAAATCCTAAATCACATTTCAGTTCCTGGCCTATATTTCTGAAAAATAAATAATGTAAAGGTGTATTTTTCAATTCATTTTCTAAATCCAGCACATACACAAATTCTCAATATACATGTATATGTGTAAAAATTCAGCATTATTTGCAACTTTCCAATGGGAAGTGATATCAGATGTTCTAGTTAGGCCCTAATTAGATGCTGACATACATGAATCACATCCATTCACAGATGTACAATGTTTCTGTCTTCTAGAAGGCCTACATAGATTTTTAAACTTGCCAACAGGGTTTGTGTAATATTAATAGTGATATTTTGGGCATACCCTGCCCATGCACAACACTTGTCACTTTGCAAAAGTGTAACTTAACTGTCTAGATAGGAAATATTTTTGATTGCCATGTATTTAATGGTTGCTTTTGGTATGCTAGATTTAAAAAAAGACAGCTACCATTGTAGATACATTAACCATATTCACATATTTTATTTGACTCGGAATGTTTAATGTTTTTGAGGGTTTTTTTTCATATAAATTGACAATACATACCATTTTAAAGGGTTTTTTTATCATAAATGCCACATAATTTTTAATGCTGCTTTAAATTCCATAGAAATCATAGTTTTCCTTGTTTATCTGTCAAATTACACATGTCTCTAACTCAATATCATCCAAAGTCTTCCACCTTGAAAATACAAATTATTTGTCAGTTTAAATCAACATTGATGTTGTGATCTTACCTGCAAAAGATGGGCTTCTGATATCCGATATTTAAGACAAAATAATCATTTTACCATTGGTACACATATCATGTACCATAATGCGTTTCAGGACCTTTTGTAATAAGGTACTCGAAGAACGAGGCTAGACATATTCCACAAATCATGTTAAGCGGTGATGCCATATTATTGTAGATTTGAATAACCAGACGCTAGAGATTGTCATTCAATTGAGACTTCTGACATATTTCGCCAAACATAATTGAATTGAAATTTGAGTAAAAACGGAAACGATTGAATGTAAATCAGTTACATTATTATATGCGTTGCTACCCATTTGTGTCAATTTCTATGTCTCAAATATTAGCGATTTACCTCCTTTAACTTTAAAGCAACAGGGCCCCCATAACTGCGTAGATTATCTTGTCCAATTCTGTAAAATAAGAATAAAAATTACAAGGTATATCAGTGAAAAGTTTATATGAAACAAATCCTAAATAAACGACACATAATTATAATAAACTGTTTCAATGGCATTTAGTAATTGAACTAGAGTATACAGGTCACAATTCTATGGAATACAATTACTGCTTTTTACTGAGCGGCGTTTCGACTAGGCTTCTCTAGTCATTCTCAAGCTATGATAAAAAATGAAAATATGACAGGACAATATATACATGTACACAACAATGCTTAGTTAATGCTGACAAAACAGGGATCTAACTTAATTACGTGTACCTAATGGTAATCTGATTTAATTAAACGCTAATAAGTAATAATACCAATTAACCTAAAAATTGACTAATTGATGGATGGATAAGTTGTTGTGGAGTATACACAATGATTAGTGGGTTTTAATAATACAAACGTTGAAAGAAAATGAAAATTGATGAAATGTTATCAACGACCCCTTTCACTGAAATAAACACAAATGATAAAAGAATAGATTGTTGTGGAGTATTTACAACGATTTGATGAGGTTTTGATAAAGACAACATCCCAAGAAGATAGATTTGATTGGTGTTATGACAAAAATAATTGATATGTGCATGTTGATGCGAAAAACCCTTAGAACAATGACTGCACAAATGATCAATAGTCCCCTGAAGGCTGACAATTTAAAATATTGAGTGGTACTTCACTGGATGTTATAGTGATGTAGAAAGGCAGGGTTAGAACTATTGAGTGCATTAAATTACAATAACCGCAGGCCTGAAAAGCAAAAATGCCTGAAAAGAAAAAAGTCCCTGAACCATGCTCCTATATTGTCAACATTGAGAAAGGATTACGTCAACTCGCTCCAGGTGGTAAAGTCGATTACCTAAGGCGCCAAATAACTGAAATACTGGCAAAAGCATCCACCAAGCAGCAGACGACCAATGTTTCCCGCCTAGAAAGGAAAGCCCTCATTGACCTAAAAGACGACAGATCTATCACAATTGTTTCCGCCGACAAGGGAAAAGCAACAGTCATCATGAATACTTACGAGTACCTCACAACGGTCAACGGTTTACTCCAAGATCCAGCAACATATAGAAGAATCCGCAAAGACCCAACAAACGCGCACAAGGACAGCCATGAAAACTTGATTAAAAAACTAAAAGAAGACAAACAGATCTCTGAAGCTCTCTATTACAAGCTCAGACCAAACCACCCTCGACCACCTTATGCCAGGGCTACTATAAAAATCCATAAAAAACCCATGAAAGCCCGTCTGCTGGTGTGTTCTCGAGATTCAGTCTTCTACAACACAGCCCAATATTTATCAAAACTACTTTCCTCACTTGGCACAACTGTATCGTCCTTCATCAAAGATTCAGGTGAATTCTGTGAGAAACTGCAGAATATTCAAAACCCCGGGAGGATGGTCTCATATGATGTTGTAGATTTGTTTACAAATGTACCAAGGGAAGAGGCCCTGAAGATTCTATGCAAACGCATAGAAAGTTTAGACAACCCACTAGAGACTTCCCTATCAACAGACAAATCATACTCTTGTTGAAACAACATAGCGTCATTTGTGCAGTCATTGTTCTAAGGGTTTTTCGTATATCAGTAGAATCACTCGCATCAACATGCACATATCAATTATTTTTGTCATAACACCAATCAAATCTATCTTCTTGGGATGTTGTCATTATCAAAACCTCATCAAATCGTTGTATATACTCCACAACAATCTATTCTTTTATCATTTGTGTTTATTTCAGTGAAAGGGGTCGTTGATAACATTTCATCAATTTTCATTTTCTTTCAACCTTTGTATTATTAAAACCCACTAATCATTGTGTATACTCCACAACAACTTATCCATCCATCAATTAGTCAATTTTTAGGTTAATTGGTATGATTACTTATTAGCGTTTAATTAAATCAGATTACCATTAGGTACACGTAATTAAGTTACATCCCTGGTTTGTCAGCATTAACTTAGCATTGTTGTGTACATGTATATATTGTCCTGTCATATTTTCATTTTTTATCATAGCTTGAGAATGACTAGAGAAGCCTAGTCGAAACGTCGCTCAGTAAAAAGCAGTAATTGTATTCCATAGAATTGTGACCTGTATACTATAATTATAATAGTATAATTATATAATAATTTTAAAAATGAAAACCCCAACAAACCATGTCTTAAATAAAGTAAGACACAAAAAATAATTTAATAATATAGGCCTATATAGGCTAAAACTTGATAATTTTAACTTATATATAAACCCATAAAATATATCACTAGAAGAAATTGAAAATATCCAACAATTAATTTTCAAGTTAATAATAATGCATTTTGGTAAAGTTTTAATTTCAAAAAGCCCAAATGATTAGGCAAATAAATTGAAGACTGTTGTCTTTGGCATGTGCTACCTGTGGCGTTCCGTAGTCCCAAACAAAATACAGGATAAGCAATTAAAAACTATTTTTTTTCCAAATTGATACCACCACAACATAAGTTGCAATGCAAGAATGCAGTGTGTACTTACCAACATGAAAATAAAATTTATTCAACGAATTTGAGATCACTTGACGACGAAACCACATGTACCAACTTTTTTGACAGTTCGTCCCATCTTTCTAAAAAAAAACATATCTCCAGAGATCGGCTATCCGATCACAAATGACATCGATGCTACATAATGCCACAGTACCTTTCAAATTTTCTCCTTACAAAACATTTCTCTCAAAATATTCACGAAATAAAGTTTTTGCCAAATTTCTTAATTGTTGACATTTGGAGGCCGAATGACAACTTCTAGAAGTTCTGCAGGGAATGGCAATAGTCCGGCAAAGCCAATTTAAATTCCATAAGTTACACTTCACCAACAAATTGTAATACAAGCAACATAATTTTACTGATATGTTTCAAATAGTATGCCACATAATATGACACTTATTACAGCAAATTATAAACTTGAGCCAAAAACTCATTGAACGCGGAGTAATGCCTGTAATGGGTGAAGGTCGTTTGAGCTGTGTTCGGAACTACAAATTGTATATAATGGGTGATCAGAAAGAAACTGCAACGGTTAGGGTTTTTAAAAATATATAGGTATGTAAATAATTCATTTCCCTCGATTTGTATTCCATCAGTAGGTTCGATCAACCTGGTGATTTTTCGTGCTTCAGTGATATGTCAACAGAGGGTCACTGGAGAAGAAGGGCGAGACGAAATAACAAAATGGCTAAAGCACATGCGAGTATGTACCTAACGTTATGAAATACGTATTACATAAATAGAGAGAGGTTAATTGAAAAAGCGAGTCTCGATGGCTGTTGTACACACCATGGGACAATAGTTGAATGTGATAAGTAACGTCAGAAAGTTCAAATAATTCTTGTAGGCGTAACCACGTTTGTTGGACATTTTGCGATATTTTCACCATAAATTTACGCCTCAGTGATCACAAGATCTGTTTAAAGGGTCAGTGGTAGTAAAAAAATGGTCTGTGAGTAATGTTTTTTATTTTAGACTTTTGTATCCAAGGGCCACTGTTCTGGTTTTTGAAATAAATTTTTCATCTTTTCAGGTGCTGTGACAAAATGGTGTCACTTTACCTTGCCCTTAATACCGCTTCCTCTGTTAAAACTAGACAGATAATTACTGTTTATATTTTGTGAATCATGGAAAACATCATACACTTCCGCCATTGACTCAAATGATGCACCCATAACACGTATCTCGTGAGAACAAAGTTCCAGGTATCTACACGAAAATCCAGTTTGTGAAGAGCTTAAAAAAAATTTTGGTTTTACTTTTAATATCACATTTTGTATAGTAGAATCTACATTTTCTGTCGTCGTTTGCAGTTGTATAAAACGAAACATTATATCTAGGCTTTGCATCACAGTTACGACATTCAAAAGTGTAATTGGCACCGACAAACACTCCATTTTCTGTATATATAAAAGGGAAACTTGGTTTTGTAATTATTACAACTCTTCCATTACATAATAAGCAGTTATTAAATGTTGGTTTTAAAATAATAGACTTAAACCCGTTTCGTTCACTTCCAGCAATACTGTTAAATAGATCTAAGTCCCATTCAAGATTATCAGTTAACAAGAAATTATATTCGTCTCTGATTAAATCAATAACTGATTTACACAATTGTTCATCTGTTGGCAAAAATGCTTTTAATGATCTCTTGTTAGCACACAATTCTCCAAGAAAAACCTTCGGTCCAAAGGAAACAAAATTTGTAGAAACATATTTTGATATATAAAACCACCTATTTGGAGTTCCTTCTATAAAATGATGATTAGCAAATAGTAAAGTTTTTAAATTTGAATAACTAATTTCAAAACGCATCCTAAATTACTGCAATATATCTACCAGTGTGAGATAAAAAAATCTTCTTCATCAGTTTAGGTCTTCTTTGTAATTTAATCTCACATTAATCCCAAACCATAGAACCCAAACCTAGAATAAGTAGAATAAATGAACAGCCACCACTTCAAATTATCTTGTTATTCTATCACTATGCATCCTTATCCGAATAACTATGTAACGTCATTTGCATAAACCATTTGCATAAACAACGCAACGTCATTTGGCAACGTCATTTGTATAACGGCATTAAATTCTATAATTCGAAAACCTGATCATTGCTACCGTTAACCTAATCAAGATGTCATCAGTTAATCAGCTGTTTCGTGACAGATTTAGAAAAGCACAAAAAGTTGAATTTCCAGGAATGGAGGAACTGACCAATTCCTACATTAATTCTTTATTAAAAGCTAACTGTGATGCGGTGGGATGCCCCGAGGAGTTTTTGTTTGTGCCGTTTCTGTCTGTATGTGCAGGTAAATTTAATTTTTTTTTTTACAATAATATTATTTTTAGGATTTAAACGATTAGATCTAATTAATATTAATATTTAAATTAAGGTCTCCTGTCTCAGTCAGATACATATCAATCTTATTAAAAAATAAAAGCGACCTTATCTAGGCTATCATTTCATTCCTACTATCAGTAACATAGCTGTTTAAAGCTTACGTAAAATTAATCTTAATTATAGAAAGTCTAAACATTATCAAATTTATTACAGGTTTCATGGGTGCTGAGACCGAAATACATTTCCACTCGGAATGGAAAGAGCCACCAATTATATGGACAATGGTTGCGGCATCGAAGGGGGAGAGAAAATCGCCAGCACTAAAACGAATAACAGATTCAATATTCAATATTCAAACTGAAGAGCACCGAAAAATTTTTGAACAAAGTCTAAATAATTCTATCACCATAGAAACCCCTACAAACAGAAATAAAACTATTTCCAACAAAATACCACCCAATGACCCCAACTATTGATAGATGTCTTTTCCATGGAAGAACTTCACAGTGTACTTTTTAGGAATAACTATCAGGTAGGTCTATTATTGTTATATTGTTGGTTATAATGTTTAGTCATTAGTTTAACCTAGATCTACAAAGATAGCATATCTATTTCTAACTCGGTGACAGTATTTGCCATAAATATTCTCTAAATTGAAAACACGAATTAGAACTTGATATGGGTCCATTATAAAACAATATTGATGTTGTTTTCTTGCCATGAAAATATAGAATCAAAATATCCAATATTCAAGACACAGTGAACATTTTAAAATCTGTACACAATTCTTGTAGGCCTACCTTATGCTTATGCCTTTGGTTTTGTGTGAAATCAAAAAAAAAAAAAGAAATATAGAAGGCAATGAGGGGGTTAAAAACGACAAAATATTAATTTAAAAAAAAAAACATTTAGTATGGACAGTTCAAATATTTCACCTAACATAATTGATTATAAAATACAATAAGAATTTAAAACATTTAATATAAATATGGGCTTCTAGTTCTAGTACAATTTTCGTATATTTTAGCATTCCAAAGAATAGTGTCGTACACCCTTTAAACTCTGTTTTATGTAATCTAAATAATAATATTTCTACAAAATAAATAAACTAAATCTATACAAATAGTTCAGTTTAAGCTTATATTATTTTTGTTTAGGCCTATAGGTCTGATAAAATTCTAATAAATTACCATTTTAGATTATTGGAGTTTATGAAGAGATTAAAGTTCTACATCAGTGCCTATATATATATAAACCAGGTGGAAGTCTCATAGACCGTAAACAGTTTTTAAACTTAAATGGGGGATCACAATGGGACCGTAATTTTAAGAATTCCGGTTATTCCCACCTACCAAAAACCCATTTCAACCATACCGGAATGATTCAACAGGTTTGTAATAAACTCCAAAATTTCTGTCGCTAACCATATCCATAACCTATAGTATTTGTTTCATAGCAGCTAGATTTTTTTTTTTTTTTTTTTTTTTTTTGATTCAATTTTCACATCTGCTTCTATTTTCATATGTACAACTAATATTTAACACGGTTATGTGTCTGTATGTTATTACCACATGTATCATGCAAAAGAAGTTCTGTATACATCTACATACTATGTTATACCAATGCCAGAAGACAAAAAACATGGAATTGAAAACATATTCAGAAGAATAATATCGCAACATAAAAATAAAAATTTAGTATACACGTTTACTAAGGAGGCAACAACAACGTTTAACCAATACCACGACAAGTATTATTTACCAATGCGTCAAAAATACATGGAAGACGAAAATAAAAGAGGGGTGTTGTCGAAAAGTTTAGGTTATATTATCAGACTGTCTGGAATTCTGACTGCAATCATTAATGCCTCTACCCCTAATGACAGTGAGTCTAGTAATAATATTAAGAAAATCCTTTGTAATCGCTTTGTCGTCCATTTAGGATATCATAAGTTATATTAGATTTAATATGCATGTATTTATATGCAATATACAAACAATAAGTTTGGTTACGAAGAATACTTCCCGCTGTTATCTAATAAATGCATATTTTAAAAGAGGAAATTTCAATGTTTTATTCTTGGCTGCATAACATAAATCATTTCATTTATGGTCTATTAATATTATTAAAATTATAAAGTGTATTTCATATGGCTTTACATTCATAAAAAAAATGAACTCTATTAATCTACTAAATTATTTTGTATTTTAATAACAAAAAAAAATAACAATTAAATTGTAACTATTTCAGAAAATACTGAAAAATCCGATATCATCAAAACTTCCAGCAAAAAACTAAAAAGGCTTTTAGAATTTGAAGAAGAAGACAAAATCATCATTCCGGCACTGGCATGCAGGCATGCATTAATAATCATCCAGTAAACAAAGAGGACAGGGTCAATGCATCCAATATCAAAATTCCCTACTTGGGCTGCAGAAAATTTTTTCAAGGAGGTTAATATTAATATTCATTTCATTGTTTGAATTAAAGTGTGTATGATTATTATTATTATTTTATTCAATATATACAAAAAGTTCACATCGGAACATTACGGTAATTATTTTATTAGATATTTTATTCAAACTTTCTACAAGATATAAACATATTTAATTGTTTTGCAGATTTGTAAAATCGGACTGGGCGACATCGTCGAATCCTGCATTGGTTTCAAGAAGAGAAAATTTTGCGAACTAGGGGAAAACGAGAAGACTCTCATGACAAAGCTGAACATAAACACTGACAAAGACTAGTTTGGGACTCGTGTTAAGACAAATTAATTATTTGATTGACTTTGATACAACATAATCCCAAAGCCTCATTGTTACACCAGAACTACAAATTTCTAAATGTATAATCTGCCCTTTTAATTTTTGGATCGCGTGATGTTAAATATCACAATTTGTCATTGGTTTGCAGTGTGAAGATTGTCACAAAAACGAACAACTCACTCATACCTACCCATACCTCGACTCCAACCCATAAGACAATTGATATTCAAGGCTAATGTAAGTTTTCAAAATATATCACCCTGACCCGCCCTAAAATAAATTTTATTCATTTACATTTTATCAAAGATGCAATTTTATCGTTTTGAACTAATATCAATAATCTAAATTATATTTTGTAGGTTTCAGTAACAAGAAGAATAGGGAACAAATTGGAGATAAAGATGCTTTTTAACCATTGCGAGTATACAGCGGGTATTTCGGGACCCCACGACCATATCCTCAACGTTTGTGAGGAACTGGTTCATACTTGTCTGGCAAGAATTTTATACATTGTCCACTACTTAATGTCGAGTATTATGCTGTAAATAGAATGGAAGAGAGGCAGTGGCAACATTCATCATTTGACAAGAAACTACGAGTATTACATTACCGTACACAGAGGGTCTTGTGGATCCTCTCGCACTTTCCTTTCAATTTTTTTCTGGTTAAAAGTGTCTAATCTATTCTGCGCTCGGTGCTAGCTTTGTATTTTGAATCTTTCTTACTGATGATATTGTTTTGGTCATTCTAGTAATCTAGATTTGAAAGCAAATCTAGGTATTCTACCAACCCCATCAAAAGACGGGATTATACATGGAAATGACAATTAAGTTATGTGTAGATTTGTATGGTTTCAAAAATACCTTTAAATTCATATATAGATCGTATCGATAGAGTACAATCGTGCGAGGACATTACAGACTCAGGGAAGGGTTGACTGGATCGACTGGTTCGAAGGAACATGTATAGATCATATCGATAGGGCTCGATTGATACGATCGTGCGAGGTCATTACAGACTCGGGGAAGGGTTGGCTGGATTGACTGGTTCGACGGAACATGTGTAGATCGTATCGATAGGGCTCGATCGATATGATCGTGCTAAGTAATTACAGACTCGGGGAAGGGTTGACTGGATCGACTCGTTCGACGAAACATGTATAGATCATATCGATAGAGTTCGATCGATACGATCGAACAAGGTCATTACAGACTCGGGGAAGGATCGACGACACATTATAGATCGTATCGATAGAGTTCGATCGATATGATCATGTGAGGACATTACAGACTCGGGGAAGGGTTGACTGGATCGACTCGTTCGACGACACATGTATAGATCGTATCGATATGGTTCATGGATGAAGTAGGTATGAGGGGTAGAACAATCTATTGAATCGACAATATCAACGATCGTGCTGATTCGACATAACAATAGATATAAAAACGAGGGAGAGGGATTATATAGGCTTTGCCTGTTTCCTAATCCTAATATTCAATAAAATATTGTTTAGGAAAAAAAAGATAGGTTGCCAGGCAACGAAACATATGCCCACAGCAGCTATATCGTCCGGGCAGTCAACAAGAGTTGTCGCATGTTTTTACTTTTTTCGGTACTGAAACATTTATAATACATTAAAATCTGATTAAGAGTAATAACTCATTGAGTAATTATCAGAAAACCATTAGAATTTGTTCGGTTTTTATAAAGTTCTGCGCCATGCTAACGTTTAGCATATGAAACTTTTTACATCATGGATTTAGCTGTTCAAGTCATAAAGATTCATTGAAAATTAATATACTTGTTCGTCTGAAGACCTTAAACACTGTGTATAAATTTAAAGTCAAACTTTAGCCTCTAGAGCTTTCACAAGATCAAGGGCCATAAATCTGGCAAAAAGTATCGGAAATCGCTGAAAATCAATAGGCTTCTTCAACTCATGACCTTAAACACTGTGTATTAATTTAAAGTCAATCGGATATTAACTTTAGCCTATAGAGCGTCCACAAGATTTTTTGAAGTGATCAAGGGCCATAACTCTGGTAGTTATTATCGGAAATCGCTGAAAATCAATAGGCTTCTTCGCCTCATGACTTTAAACACTGTATAAATTTAAAGTCAACCGGATATTAACTTTAGCCTCTAGAGCGTCCACAAGATTTTTTGAAGTGATCAAGGGCCATAACTCTGGCAGTAATTATTGGAAATTGCTGAAAATCAATAGGCTTCTTCGTCTCATGGCCTTAAACACTGTATATAAATTTAAAGTCAATCGGATATTAACTTTAGCCTCTAGAGCATCCACAAGCAATTGTGGACGCCGGACGGACGGGAGCGACGACAGTATATGACCACATTTCAATGTGTGCGTATAAAAATCAGTCGATTGTTGAATACTGTACCTATGTCTAAAAATATGGTATATATCCAGGTTGTGGACCCTCTTGAGCTCACAATTTTCTTCTGATTTTGATGAAACTTGAAATGTAAGTTTATAACACAAAGATGTTGGTTCCTTTCGATATTCGTGCATATCGGACAATAACTTCCTGAATTATGGCCCCTGATTGTACGAAAAATCACGTTTTTATCTTTTGGACCCTATAGCGGTCATAATTTTTACCCGATTTAAAAAAAACGTTTGAATATAGCATCGTTACACCCTAAGGATGGTTGAGTTCGAATTTCGAACCAAAATTGACAGAGAAAATGGCTGCCCCTCGTACTCAAATAGCGTAAAAATATAGTATATCAATGTTGTGGACCCTCAGAGGTCACAATTTTCTTCTGATTTTGATGAAACTTCAAATGTAAGTTTATAACCCAAAGATCTTGGTTGCTTTCGATATTCGCACATATCGGACCGTAACTTCCTGAATTATGGCCCCTGATTGTACCCCTCTAGATGTCACAATTGTTATCCGATTTATAAAAAACGTTCAAATATATCACTGTTACACCGTAATTTTGGTTGAATTCGAATTTTGTGAAAATCGGGCCAAAACTGCCGGACAAAATGGCTGTCCCTCGTAAGCAAATAGTGTATAGCATCTGGTATATCAAGCTTGTGGACCCTCTCGAGGTCACAATTTTGACCTGATTTTGATCAGAGTTGAAATACATGTTTATAACCCAAAGATCTTGGTTCCTTTCTATATTCGCGCATATCAGATCGTAACTTCCTGAATTATGGCCCGTGAATGTACAACAAATCACCTTTTTAGTCACAATTTTTAACGTGAATATATCACCATTACACACTAAGATCTTGATTCCTTTTGATAATCGCGTATATCCGAACGCAACTTCCTGAATTATGGCTCCCGATTGTTCGAAAAATCACATTTTTAGCTTGCAGATTCTCTAGAGATCACATTTTTTTTTCCGATTTTAAAAAAACGTCTTCTTTAAGTGGCATTTAGTAATTGAACAGTAACACACTAACACTATTTATGGAATAACAATCACTAGTTTATTAACATGCAACGTTTCGACGATGATACTCTCGTCTTTATCAAGCAAATGATAACATATATGTTAGTTAGTTCTTGGTGTTTAACGTCTGCTTCCACATAAGTGATATCGCAGACAAGACATAGGAGAGCCGAAGCTGATTCCTGTTTTTTAGAATATGATTTTGCAATCTTTCCATTTGGCCTTAGGCCATGGATTTGGTTTAGTGGGAAGTTCTTCCCTTTACTTAATATAAAACATATCGTTTGGTAGATGATCTCGTCTGCTTCTGGATTGGTAGATGTCATCGTTTGGGGTTAGTGTTTAGGTGCCAGGCCGTCTTATCGTGGCCTCCCCTTACTCCACTATCCCACTCTCTGGGTTTGGTATCAGTTTTATTTGCGGAATAGTGTTTAGGTGCCGAGTTCGTCTGACCGTAACTCCCCCTTACTCCACTATCCTGCTAGTTTGGTAGATGTCATCTTTGTGGGGTTTGTGTTTATAGGTGCCAAGCCGTCTTATCGTGACCTCCCCTTACTCCACTATCCCACTCTGTAGGTTTGGTGTCTGTTTTTGGTGGAATAGTGTTTAGATGAAGAGTCCGTCTGATCGTGACTCCCCCTTATTCCACTATCCTGCCAGTTTGGTATAAATCCCCTATGTAGTTTAGTGTTTAGATGCCTGGCCCGTCTAACTGTGACCCCCTCTTACTTCACTATTCTACTTAGTCAAACTGTGTCCATTAGGGCGTGGATTTGTTCGAAGATTTGCAGTTTCAGATCTGGTCTCGGGAAGAGTAGGTTCTTAGTGTTGAATGGTATGTTCTTGGTCTCCATTGTTCTCACTAGTTCCTTTCTCTCCTCCTCGTATACCTCGCAGTCTACGAGGACATGGTTGGTGGTACATTCTTCTCCGCACTCACAGATGATGACTTGGTGTTTGTAGTCTCGCAGCCGCTCTTTCACCCTTAGCTTCGATATAAGTCTACAAATATCTCTTCTAGGGTGATTGAGTGTTGTCTTTGTGTAGATCTTGTCATCCAGTCGGAATCTGTATGTGTCACGTTCAACGAGATTTAATTCCCAGATTGAATTGACCTGTCTTTTGACCATACTGTAGATTTCCGTGGTGCTGTAGTCTATGGTGCGGAGTGGTGCTGTGTCCTTGAGACCTTCATTGGAGAGTCGATCTGCCT